CGGCATGACAAAGCAAATTTATTCGCTTGCCGAAGGCGTTCTTTGTTTTATTTCAGTTCCCGTCTGTCACTGGAAAAAAACAAGAAGCCTCCATTATCTAGCCATTTTTTCCATCAGAAATCATCATTTATCGTTCACGGCTTCGTCGTTGTATTGTAAACTTCTTTCACGTGTGGTCTATTTCAAGCATAAAATCCATGCATCATTCGAATGTGAATTTTGACAGTAGTTGAACAGATTGATTTACACTTGATCAGAAGTTCTTTGCACTCAACCATCTGTTTTTTTTTGTCGCTTTCATCCCAGACTACAGTCTCTTTATCTCTCTATATGGTAGACTTAATCGAGTGAAAAGCTAGGAAGCATCATGCAACTATTTCTATCTGATTCATCCTCATTAGCACCGTGAATCCATCAACCCACTTGAACATCAGGTAGCTGATCAAACTACTTTCAATTTGCCTATATACAATCTAGCATAAACCATCTTTGCCAGCTTGCTGCTGGCGTCACATCTAGCTCAACTCACCCCTGGCCTCCAACGCTATGACTCGGTTGGAGACATTCCAAACGCAGCAAGCCTCAAAAAATGGGATGTGCCATATCGTATGATAGGAAAATGAAAATCGGTCTGAAAAGCTGCCTAGTAGTCAAGCTGCGTTCTACCTGTGATCCTCAGTTGGGTCGACGGATTCACTCTGCTGTTCAGAATCAATAAGATCGAAAAAGCCGTCCACTATCCCCTAACTTTTCAGTTCACGCTTCATTCAAGATGTATTGGACAGAATCCACTGTATAACCCAGTCAAATCCTCCAGCGACCTTCATGCTGCTGTAGCTTGCATAGACGTAATGATTTCGTCTTCGAAGGAAAGCATCCATGGCAGGAGAGCAACACATATGACTGGGTAAAGTTCTTGGTGTTTGACCGTAAAGTATCAAATTAGCATTTTTCTTGCTATGTAGAACTGGGTTCAAAAGTTATCTATAGAGAGTAGAACTGATCGCCTTTCAAGGAGCGTACGCTTTCAAATTTTTGAATTTACTTGAAAATTATGTCCTTGATCATCCACCTTTACTGAAATGAAATGCAATTCTCTTGGCATAAAATTTCTTCCTGTGCATGTTATCACCGCTTACGCTAGCGCCAAGGTTTTTTTAAACCTTTTCCATTTGACCTTATCATTGTGATTTACGTGGGTTAAAGATACAGTTATAATGCACGCTAAGTAGATTGAGTAGTTTATCTACCTAGGACCCTAACTTCGTGAAATGCGCCATTAACGGAAGTGTNAAGTGTCACCGTGGTTCCCACAATCCACTGAACTTGCACAGCAATGGACACAACGTACACCCAATTTTATGACGGTCTATCTGCGAGTCAAATGATCCTTCGTGAACCTCTGGAATGATCTTCATTTTTCATACATGTTTATCCATGTTTTGGAAAGTGTTATTTGGATTGATCATTTGTTTTGCTGCATCAATTGTGTTTTTATGATTTGTCCGTATAGGATTTTTGTTTTTCAAACCGGACAGAGGCAGTCTGATTGGTTCAAGTTCATATATAAACGCCTGTGATTCCCCCCCCCCTCCCAAATGTGATTTGCGTCCGGNCCGGTGCACTTAAAGATTATATCGAGAGCACTTCCTGAAGAACCGACTTTTGGCAATCCATGTACAGCGGTGAGTATCCGTCTCAATAAATAAACATCTGCCTTTGACAATAAATCCAAAATCGTTTTGATGATACACGAATCGACGGCCATGCTCGATCGGGGGTGACGTTCGCTGTCAGGGGGTTCAGTGGCAATATCAATCGGAAGCGGGAAAGTATGTTCGCACGGAGGAGATGACCATTTTCTGGGGATAAGTATTAGTCATCATCATCATCATCATCATCTTCCAGCGAGATACAGTGAAGCCAACTCCGTTAATCGCTTCCAAGCTTACGTTGTATACAAAGCAAGTGAGAATGTAAAAAAAGAATTAGAATTGGGCCGAACTGGATGGTGAAAAGGAAAATGAACCTCTGTGGATGGCACACCAAGTGTACAAATTAAGCGATGTGATAAGAAATGGCTGTCCCCACCATATCCTAAAATGCCTCCAACCAACCAGTTGAGGAGTCTTTCGGATCCCAGCCTGGAAGACCGGAGACACCTTCGCTACCTAATCGATCTGTGTATTTCTTCATGCCTCGTTCTCACGTCATCTTTTGACCTCCTTCAACGCAAAGTATCAACTGCAAATAATGTGCGGTGCATTAGAAGACAGCTGGGCATGTGCAATATGTACTCTAACAAGTGAAGCCTGCCAATCTGAATTCGATGCGATAAAGAATTCTCCACAGAATCCTTACTAAATATTCACTGGCGACTTATCCAAGAGCTCCTTACACGCTCGGTCCATCCAACCCGTGACAAACCATGTCAACATCGACAGTCAAACAGTTGTAGATGATCAATGTCTAAAGCGCAAATTTAAGGTCTTTCAGTCGTAAAACAAAACTAACCACATATTGACAGTGTACGCCACTTTTTAGTTTCAAGGAAACATCAAACTACGATGTGTCAGTTTTACGAGGATCCCCAACTAGCCAGGTTCTAATAAGCCCAAGTCAACATATCCGTTTCTTAACTACTGTGGATACTATAAGTAATTAAACATGTTCGAGTTCCATTAAAGACTGTTTGAAAACTTGAAATAAGCTGTTCTTCTTGGGTCCTTTGGAATGATTATTTGACGGCCTCGGAAATACAGATACATCAGTATATGCTATCAGAATTTTAAGAAAACTCGAAAAGATCAATACATTAGAACCACCAGTTTCAAATTTGTAGCTTTAGTCATGTGACTACAATAATGTACAGATTTCAATCACATGTGCGCTCATTTTGACTCTACAAAATAAAACAGAGGCGAAATGGACCAACAAGGCCGTTGGTCATTTTATTACTTACATTAGTTTGTTTCACGAGAATAGTCAAGAGAATCGATATTTTTAGTCGGTGTAAACCAGTAACCTAAACACTGGAAAGTTTAATAAAATTCCAAAAAAGTATTCAGCTGGCCGAGCTAGTGAATTGGCCCTCTACCAAAATCGGCAAATCAATACTAGTCAATATTTCGTCAATGATCGATTACTTTGGAGACTTGGGATTCGCATGCATATACGATGATCTAAATTGGAATTGGTGGACACTTACTCATATCTGCAGTGAAGTAAATTTTAGCGTCTTCCACTAACCTCGTGACCCCATTCGTTAACCACATACACACACACACACACAACTGTTCTAGTAAAATATCGCTCAAAATCTGCTTTTGAATACAATTCCAGCATTTTATATGCTATGAGCAAATGTTCATCAGACTAAGTTGGGTGAATTAGTTACACATAGGATTACCCAATTCTGTCTGAAGAAAGGATACTGCCTCACTTTAGTTCCCACATGAAATCTTCCATTCCTTTTTCATTACAATGTGAAATACGATTGATTTGTGCTAATGCAAGCGGGTGTGAAATCATTTCTATGCAAAACTGACCAGATGTTCACTGTGAAAACTTTGCAGTTGGATAAGAAACAAAACAGACACTTTCATCGACGATCCACGCAAATTTGTAGGCATCAAGGTCTATGCATGAGTCGGGTCGGCTATCATACGATTCCATGTCGAGTGTGTTTGTGTGTGTCAATAAATATAAGATTACGATGAACAGTGAAAGTATGCGAGAAAGAGAAGAACAATTAAGCGACGAGTGTGTCAAATGCTGATGATCAAAAACTTTGTTTCCACTGTCAGCGTCAAGCCGATGCATGCATAGTGTGGTAACCCAACCTGGGGGTGAATAGTTAACTTTTGCTGAGCGCGCGGATGAACACTTGATGGATAGGTTATTGCAAGGTCTAAGCTCTTGCTAAATATGTAGTGTTAGGACGGAGCGCACAGAACCCGTCAGGCTACGCATAGAGCCGCGTCACATCACATGTGCGCTGGCGACGCCCAAATGCGAATCGATTTCGGATTGGATGACTAAGACGAATCAGACAACTGCCGTCCGATCGATCAATCACAGTGCCAAGGACGCGATCAGAATGGTACGTCACCCCGTCGTTTCTCGTAAGCCCAAAATACCACATATATTTGCCTATCGCGTCCTGATCGACAAATACACTCTGTCTTTTTTCCAACCGTGTTATCTCCCCGTATTGTTGTTGGGAGCTGGACAAGAGGCACTCTCATCAATCCTCTTAACAACACATAACATCTATGGATTTGAGTCCGAATGAATAAGCTCAGGCATAAACTTGGGGCGGACTGAACAGTTTGGTTTTTACAATCCTGATCACCATTAATAATCACCCGCTTACTTATTCGACACAAAACTACAATCAATTCATCCACAAACATGAGCAGATTACTGGGATTGTCTCGGTTTAAAGGGTAAATTTTTCATTGGGTCAAAGGTCATGTCTCGAATTCTATGGCGATTTGAACAATTAACCTTGTCTTAGAAGCTCATTCGGTGGACTCCGATGAATTCTAAGGAAAACCTGTTGGGACAGTCAGCTTACATGTTAACTGGTGGATGTCAAATGCCTCTGTAAGTTGGATGGGTAAATTCGAATGTGGAAAGATCAATGCTATCGGTGTGACCTCGTAGCTCAGCTGGTAGAGCATGCTCGTACAAAGCGCAGGCGGCGTCCATGCGTGGGTTTGAATCCCACCGAGGCTACTGAACTTTTCACAATCGCCATGGAACCTTCAAATCTGCCAAACATCTATGTCTTGAATTGACTGGAGTTGAGAATATGGATGCGGGTGCATTGTGCCGTGACCCCCGACAGCACTTGATTTCTGTGATCGGAACGGGAAGTGGGTTTCGGTGGTTGGTTTGTGACCAAGACGATTGCAGTACGTGAACGTGGATCTGGTATGTACCATGGCGACATGATTGTCTCATAAGTGTGTCGTACGAGCTGCGTCGTACCAGAAATGGAGTTCAAATGGAAAGACACTCACACACTTCAACGGGACGCCGATGGAACTCCAGTGGGGCGATTTGGGCCCGTGGTTCGTAATCGTCAGAATAGCTAAGTTTGTTATTCATTTATCCGTATGGTACATATATTAGACAGTCATCGATATTCCCAGCCGTAATTTCAGAACCTCACTGAATAACCCAAAACATAACCACGTGAACTACATTTACTTGAACACACCACTGACGCATTCTCATGGATTACGTAATCAGTTACCCTGAATGCAAAACGACTCCCTGCAATTGCCAGTACAATTAAACACAAGGCAATAGAAACTGGAACAAGCTTTTTCCGTGATAAATTTAAAAAGTTGAAGCCAGTGTAGCAATATTGCACGATTTTACTGCATCTAAGTTGGTGCCTACTGCAGACAAATATGTTGTTTATATGGAGTACAAATTGAACATACGTGAATGGGGGTGGCGGATAAACCAGGCAACAAAAAGACTTATTCATCACCTTGGTTTGCCTAAGTGGCCCTTCCTCCATTCACGTTTGTTCATCAATGAAATTATCACAGTAATAATTAATGAAAAAACACAAGTTTATTACAATTCATGAAGATAAACTTCCAGTTTTGGCATGTTTTCTTAACTGCTTCCCTTTGATTAGTGTTTCTCGTATGACTTCTAAGTTCATTGTTGACTCCTCGCAGACGTGGGACCCACCAGACAATTATTATCGTCTCTGCTATTGCATCTGTGTATGAAATACATTTATTTAAATGAATATGTACACGAACCATCAACCAACTTAGATATAGGCATGCGTAGGCATGCTTATACTGACTGTACTGCATTCCAGTGGATGATGCTGTCAAGCATCGTATTTATGCTGTTCACTTTTAACTTCATCAATGAATATAGATAGCTCATTTAAACAAACCAGGATCAGAGAGATAGAACATTCCCGACCAGTGCAGCAAATTGAAAACTGCATTAGAAGAACTCAGAGAGCGCCGTGCAAAAGGGGAAACTAATCTGTGTATACGGGATTTTCGTGTGCATCGGAAGCGCCCTCAGTTGTGTTGGCTGCCCTTGGTCAAGGGGAGGACCCAGGAGACTGTTTAACCACGGACGAGGGGATTAGCTTGAGGCGTGAATAGAGAGGTAACCACGCTGTGCTAGCCTCAACCAATATCCGAGTGATGCTGGGAAAAAGGGATGAGCTGGAGGACTGGGTTGTATTCCACAATCCCGATCTTTTTGCAATCACTGAGACCTGGCTGACACCGGATGTCCGGGACTCCGAAATATTACTCCACGGATACACAGTGTTTCGAACGGATCGATCATCGTCACGTCGCGGTGGTGGAATTGTTCTTTTTGTCCGCCCGGGTCTCCCTGTTCGAGTGCTGGGGAAATACGCCCATCCGGAAGGATTTGGAGAAGTCCTGTTGGTGCATAATCAAGCTTTGTGCCGGAGGGTATACCACAGTTGTGGTGATTTACCCCACACCAGCTGTGTACGCCCCAGAGCTGCTGGTCAGTATACGGAGGTACGCCTGTGATGGACACTGTCTTGTCTTGGGTGCTTTTAATGCGCCCCATGTTGATTGGGAAACTGACCTGCTTTCAGCAGGCAGATTTCTTTTCCAGAGAACTTCTCTTCGCTGTCCGGGCCCTCTCACTTGTTCAGCATGTTCATGTGCCCAAGCGGATAGTTGGGGATCAAAGATCCATCCTTGACCTGGTATTTTCGCCGAGGCAATCAGATACAACTAGGATTGACCTCCTTCTACCAATTGAATCTAGTGATCCCTCCGTTCTGCGTGTATACTGGAGGCGTGGCGTACCCCAAACGGACAGACCACAGAACGGACGGAATGTATGGCGCTCGTCCTTTCCGGATATGCGTCAGGCTGCGTCGCTCACGAATTAGGGTTCCCGGAACCCTGAGGATGTGGATGTATCCTAGGAGTTGGTTCGTCATAGAATCCAGCAACTCGTACTGGAATTATCTCCACCTCACCGCCACCGAACACAACTAAGGGCCCGCCGTGGTTTGACCGAGAACTGCGGGTGTGCCTCCGGCAGCGGAATAAAGCCTGGTCTAAGTACCGTGCAACAGGCACAGGATATGAGGAATATCGATGTATTCAGAGTCATTTTACTGCACTAAAAAAATGCAAGATAACCTGATTCGAGGAACGACTAGCAGCGGATTCAGTACAATTATTAAAGCGATTGTATGCCTACCTCAGGCGAAGAATCAGAGCAACGCCTGGTCTCCCGACTCTCGCCAAAGATGGGGCACTAGCCGAAAAGGATGAAAATAAAGCGGAGATGCTGGCATCACATTATGTTTCAGTGTACACCCCAGTCTGCAGCACACTGGCACATTTACTGGACACTGACACTGCGTTGAACTGGACCCATTTATAATCGGAGAGGTGGCCCTGTAGCTGCGGTCTTTCAACCAGCTCACGATGAACGCTTTCAGGCTGCTGTACGCTTCCGATGTCAGACAAAGACTAAGTATGATAGTGCGGTGACATACCACTTCACGACCGGTGAACTGGACAAGTTGGAGCGTGTACAACGTGCTGCCAGTACACCCGTTGTTGGACTACGAGGGACCAGCTATGAAGGTCGTCTACAGGCTACTGGTCTGTTCCCAGTTGCGTATAGACACCGCAGGGGAGATCTCATGTGCCTGAGAAGGATCCGGAAAGGTGATATGGGCCCGGAGCTGCAACAGTACTTCCCTTTACAGACAGCACCGCACGCGGAGGCACTCTCTCACGTTGCGGAAACTTTAGTCAGTTGGTCTTCCGTTAGTCTATGGACTCTTAGGTCAACAACACTCTTGAATTCCCTTCCAGCGATTGTAGTGGAAGAGAAGAAAGACGCTGCTTTCAAACGGCGTCTGGATGAGCACATGAAGGGACTATGGGAGAACGAACACTTGTGATCGGACCTTCGATCCAGCGGTGATGGGGCTTACACGGGTACCCTGCCCTCTGCCATCAATCCTGAAGACTGAAGATAGCCAATTTTTCGTCTAGAATAGCCTACCTTTTCGAGTCTGTATGTGAATACGAAGGTTATCCGGAAATAGAAAGCATGGAACACCTACTGTCAACAGTAGGCACCCTATAAAATATTTGAATAGTGACTTTTGGTGGCTTGAGACCGATAGTGTAAGAAGCTCGAGAGTTATCACTACCTTTGTCTGCCTGTTCCGCATGTATGCTTTTGCATGGTTGCAGGCCTTGGTTGCTTGGAGCATTCGCTCGTGCATCATTCTCCCTGGTAGGATAGATTCCGCCAGGATATTTGATATCCTGAGACCGCTTCTTTAGCTAGATCTTCCATCTTCGTTTAAGTTACTCCCACCTCCGGTGAAGTAACTTCACTTTAAATGGTGCCTGGATTCAGTGCTACACCTTCTCTTGCTAAGCATTTCCGCTTTCAGACACTCTCGAGCGTAGTCAGCCTAAAACTTCGGTGTTTTCAGGGAACAAATTACTTTCATTAACCGGCTGTTCTTCCTGATCCATACCGAGTGATCAAGAAACACGGGAGAATTAGAGATCGGATTGCTGTCGCGAAATTGCATCCCCTGTCTCTGAAGAGTGATTCAGACCCAATCTAGTTGTATTTTGAACTCATCGACTGTCTTACAGTCCAGCAGTGAAGATGGCAATTGGTTCCACTCATCTATCACTCTACTCACGAAGAGGTTGTATTTAAGTTTGAGTCAGCTAATGGGCTTCATTAGCTTCAAATAATGCCCATTTTGACTCCAGCGGCGCTCGAAAAAACAGACTACCCGCTTCTTGCTCTTTCAACCAAGTCATTATCTTGAAAGTCTGGATGAAGTCACCTCTTTGTTGTCTTCTCTCCGTAGAAAAAAAGGCTCAGTGTGTTCAGTTTCTCCTTATATGATTAGTCCCTCATTCCCGCTATTATCCTAGTGGCTAACCGTTGCACCCTAGCAATGCAATTGATATCTTTCCTTAAGTAAGGCGTCTAAGCCTGCACTCAGTTTTATAACTGCGGTCTAACTATGGCCTTGTATATGGATGCGAAAACCTCAGCCTTCTCGACGACAGAGCCGCCTTAAGCTGGAATATTTGCCCCCTCACTTTTTGTGCGNAGTCCTCGCCGATCAAAATTCCCAGATCCAGCATTCGATCTACTTGAGCAAAGACCGTCGGTTCCGTGGTCGTAATCACTCGAACCGGAAGCCCTACGGTATTTAGAACATGACACTTGTTAGCGATTGGCTCCAAGTTCCACTTCTGTGTCCATCGGACAACCTTATTCAGATCAGGTTCTAGTTGATCTACAGGTCCTGAGTTCATTAGTTTGACGTCGTTGGCGAAGATGAAGGTAGTAACCGCTAGTTTATGTACAAAGTCATTTATAAACAGCAGAAAGGGCATCGGGCCTAGCACTGAGCCCTGAAGCACTCCACTGGATACGCTGCCAACGTTGGATATAGCTTCTCCCACCTAAACTCCATAGATCCGGTTTGTGAGGAAAGCTTTTATTTATCTAATTAGAGCTACTGGAAGACCAAAGCCCCTAAGCTTTACTAGTAGGAGCCGGTGGTTTGCGGAGCCGAAAGCTTTCCTGAAGTCCAGAGAGCACATCTCGACTTTCGAACCTCCATCTAACTTTCTTGTAACTTCGTTTCCAAAACAAAGAAGATTGCTCAAGCGGAACCTCTTTTTGGGGAAGGCGTGATAGGCGGGGATAATTAACCTATGTTGTGTGAGGTGCTCACAGAGAGCATTCCTAACAATGGCTTCTAAATCATTACACAGCACGCTGGTCAAACTTACGGGTCTGCAGTTACCAGGTTGCTTCCTACCTCCACTCTTGTGGATGGCTACCACTGTGGTAGTCGCCCAATCACTAAGTACTCTCCCAGCCGTGAGGGACTCCTGGAAGAGTGCGGTTATCGCAGGGGTGAGCACAGGAGCTGGTGGTTTGATGAAGGCCGGGTTTAGCCTGTCGCTGCCAGCAGAATTATTTACATTCAAGCTCTCCATGATCTTAATAACACTACTATCTGAGACTTCCACATCGCCCATTGGAGGGGTGTCTAAGCACTCTCGTGGGACCGCACATCCGTCGTCTATTTTATAGACGTTTTCAAAGTACCTCTCAGGCGTCTTACACTTTTCATAATCTGATACAGTCAACCCACCTCCGGGGATCTCCAAAGTGTCTACCAATATTCTTGGTGCAGTCTTCGATTGCACGTAGCTATAGTACCTCTTGGGCTCCAGGCACGCTCTATTGGCGATTTTAACTGGCTTGTTTGTATAATTTCTAGCCTTCTTATATTGTAGCCCTCGATCGTGCCCTTCTGTGAGAACGAATGCCTACCTACGAGCCCTTTCTTCTATGATGCGTTTAATGTCCAGCTTCCACCATTGCGGTTTGTGGGTGTTGTACGTCAACCAATTCGCACTTGAGTGACGCGTAGCCGAAACCGATACGAATCCCGAAATAAAACACGACTGATCCGCAATTTTCTACGGTACTGAATTAACGAAATTATTACAAATGTACAATAAAGCAAACCCCAAATATGCGGCCGAAAGCACTCAAGCAAGCGAGCCAGATATGATGTCCAGAGAGAGGCAAACAGTCGCTCACGTTCTCAAAACACGCAAAATTCAAATGTGCCGGGCATCAAATTAACTAATAAACAATAATGTATAGTGATTGTGATCGAGAAATGTCAATACAAGAGCAACACACAGATAAAGTTATTTCACCATAAATCATCATGGGTTTGGAAGGATTTTCAAAAATTCAACATGAAATACACCGGCCGCCAAAATCCTTCCTGCTCTCGTCTGAGTCAATGGGTTGGCGCAGGTCTGTGATTCTTGTTTACCTATCTACCTACATAGTCCATGCTGTCAGTGGTTTTATCTACGAACTGTTCAGCCTTCGCCGCATTCGTTGATCTTGACCTCCGACGACTTACACGTTTCTTCTGCATCAGTGCGCTTGCAGCCAGTCACACGATAAATTGATAGCAATGGGTCAAATGAATATCATTGCAGATAAAGTCTCCATGTGTAGACAAGGAGGGGAGAATGTGGGCGGTGTAATTAATGTTAATAATAATAATATTGTATATTTCACGAAGCCCGTGAGGCATGCACAAGGCGTGATCATATGTTCAAAATAATCATATGTACAATGACAGTACAGGTAAATAGATAAACTACTTGGAAGACGTACATACTGGAGTTGGTAGGGGAGCAGAACGAAAACGCTGTGTAAAC